AGGCCACCCCCGCTCCGCCACCGCGCCGAGCGCCGCTCCCCACCGCGCCTGCGCCGCGGGGCGGGCGGGAATGCGCATGGGCAAACGCACCGCCCGGAAGCGGCCAGCAACGGGCAGCGCCGAGGGCCAGAAAGGCCGGCGGGCAGCGGGGTGTGCCGTGCTGCGGGGCCGCGATGGAGGACGATGCGCCGGTGATTTACGGGCTGGAGTTCCAGGTGGGCGCTGGGGCAGACTTACGGAGAGCTGGCAGGTGTTGGTCCTGTCGCCGGGAAGGCGGTGGCTGCGGGGGCGGGTGTGTGTGGAGGGGCAGGGGAGAGCCGGGGCGGGCTGTGGGGCCCGCTCGCGGGGAGACCGGCGTCCCCTCGCCCCCCTGGGCCGGTACCGGTGGCTTTTGGTGGTCCTTGGCACATGGCCGCCGCGTTGGGCTTTTGAAAGGTGGCTGAGCACGGGGCAGGAGCTGGGTCCCTGCTCCAGCACTTGCTGTTCCCGGGGCAGGTGCGTCAGTGTGGGGGCAGGGGTTGTTTCCCTCATGGTCGAGCGCAGCCTGGCTGGGGGGGCTCCTGCCCTGTCACCAGTCCCTAGTCCACCCCTGGAGAAGCCTTTGTCTTGCTCTGGGGTGGTAGGAAAATACCGGGAGTCTCAAAGAGATTCTTATAGTTGCTTCTTCCTTTTCAGAAATTTAAAAAAAAAAAAAAAAAAAGCTTTTGTGAGGAGAGGGCATGAAACTGTTTCTGATAAGTTGCAAATGTCTGTTAGTTATACACACCTGTAAAGCTACTTGATTTTTGTGGGATCCCTTGCTGTGGGTTCCATGTCTGTGCATTTGTCCCATAGCACAAACCTGTCTGTCATATTTATGGCAATAAGGAAATGGGACTGTTGTTGGACTGTCTGACTTAGGAACTTATTGATCATCTTCGTAGAGGAACATGAGTCTTGTGTCTAATAAAGTTTCTAAAAGTTCTGGGAAAATAAACAGGTAGGCAGCTGCATGGGTGAGAGGGACCCTAATTTATGGTTCTTTTCCACAATAAGGGTTACACTCAGCTGTGACATGTTCTCTTTGGCAACAGCTGGCTCATCATCGTTGTCATTATAGCAGTAATAGGAGGCGCTGTGTTTCTTCTGCAGTTCACAGAGCAATGTTTTCATTCTACAGTGGGTGTAGCAATATAAATATGTACACATGCACTTTTTTTTTTTAGGCATCTTTACCAAAGTGCTCATCAAAAGTAACATATGAAGGTTGTCTGTAACGGGTTTGGGTGTCCTGGTTACTGAGTTGTGTGCTCTCTAATCCTGACTATACCTATAGATCTCCTTAGCAAATTGTATGTTTGTTTGGCTTTCCTCTTGTATAGGAGCTAGTGTGTAATAGTCACCTGCACTAAATATTAAATCTACTGAAGTCTGATAATATGCTATCATTTTGTGATTGGCGAGAGATGGCTGTAACTCGTACTTCAAAATTAATAAAACTTAAACTTACACTTAAATATCTTTTGCAGAATAGAACATATATCCTGTACTTAATAAAATTCATAGCTTCTTTCTACTAGGTCATATATAATGAGTCTTCCAGAAATTTTGGGAAGCTAGCCTGTGTGCTGTCTGGGACCCCCATGGACCTGGACCCCCCAGCTCCCCAAATCGCACATCTCCTACAGATCTCTTTTCTTCTGCGAAGTATGGAACAGGGCTGTCTGGTGGGAGAATAAAGTAAAAGGGCTAAGGGAGTGGCTGTAATCACAGAGAATTACAGTTAATACAGATCACTTAGAGAGAAGGTGGGGAAAGAAAAGATGGTTTATGGCTAAGTCAGAAAAGGAGCATAGAGTTCAAGGTTCTATTTCTGATCTCCATTAACTGCCAGTGTGGCTTTAAAACAAAATGCATCTCTGTGCTTTCTGAAAAAGGCTCTGATGGAGAGACTGAAACCTAAAACTGGTGTGGTTCTTCCAACTTGCATCTCCAGGTCTAATAAGAAAGACTGTTATTCTTTTTAAGCCTGGTAGATAATAATGGCTAGCTGCATCATCACAACTACAGCTTCTTTCCAGTGTGTGTCAGAAGCACTGTGACTGAAAGCATCCCTTCAGATGATTTTTTCATCCCGGTTTAAAGAATTTTCCTGTTGTTTCTTGTGTTTGGGTTTTTTATTGTTGTTGTCATTTCCAATCTTTACTTCATCTCTGTGACAAACTTGTTCAAAGTTGAGATTTGAAATGATAAAGTATTAAAAAGAGGGAGGGACCTTCTTACTCTTGTTGTGAATAAAAATTATATGTCACAAAACCATGACATCTAGAAGCTACACGAGGGACTGCAGACTAAGAGGCTATATGTGGCTCCAGCAATCAATAAGAATCTGTCTTTGGCCACTGCCAGAGAAAATGTAGTTGTGCAGCTTTGCCTTTCATCTGATCTGATGTGGCCAGGTTTATAAGAAAATAAAGCTGATTCCTCCTAGGGTGCCATCCATCAACTAACTTAAAATTATTTCTGCACAATTTATGTTCCTTTTTATGTGCAAAATGTGTTTTGATGTATCGGCTTAAGTAAGGTAACTTAGAATAATGAACAAATACATATATCTCTTCTGAATCCAGTTTTCATCAAAAACAGCTTAGTGGAACAGAGAAGTCTTACCTAGAAGAACCATATCACTCACAATTCTGACACATGAGAAGGGAAATTAAAGATACAAATCCTGAGCCCTTATACAGCTGTGTATAATTACTTGGCATGTGTAACTACTGTGCAAAGTTTTACCAAGTAACTGAGAAATAGTTTTGTTTTCTGGGGTGGAAGAGGGAAGCTAAATATCTAACAGCAAAACAGGATTAAAACTAGTGATGAATTCAGTTTTCTGAATGATTAGTTAAATTTTTGGCCTGATTAGTTTCCCCTGATTTACTAGATGGTTGCAACTCTTTCTTTTTGTGCTGTTTATAACGTTCATATAACCCCAAAAATGTTGTTTCCCAGAGTGGTCTTTTTGTCTCTTTAGCATGTCTGTGAGGTGTATAACCATTGTACAGACATACAAAATATTTGAATTTTAGGGTGTGTGATTATTTTCGAGATTTTTCTTTTTTTTTTTTTTTTTAAAGACAATATCCCACCATAGTTGCTCTGATCATTCAACTGTAGTGAAAATGAGAAAATCACAGAGGAATGAGTGGTGAGTGAAAATGTGAGATGCTGTTTGAATTGAGGACTGAGTGATGTAACTGTGGATCATGATGATGAATATGGGGCAACAGCAGTAGCTGCAGAACACTTCAATACAGAAAGGCTGCTCTTCTAAAAGGAACCTTGGTAGACTTTACCAATACCCTGAATTATGAGAATGTGGTAAATGGGGTTTCGAGGGTATCGCTAAATGCTATTTTTTTGTCAGTGAAATTACATGCTTCTTCCTTGTCCAGTGTAGAGTTGACGTGTGTTTACTATCTAACCTGGAGTATGTGGTATGTTTACCCTGTGTTGAATAGTCTTCATTTTCAGGGATTCACAATTTTCCCCATCCTGTTCTTTGAGTGTTTAAACAGTGATGTTTTGAGAAGGCGTGTAAGCACTACTGAATATCTCAAAATACTGTATTGGCCTTAATTTATGGTTGACTGGATGATGCTTATACCTCTGAAAATGAGCTGTGTGCAGGGGTGCTTTCCAGGATAGGTATCTGGCTCAATTGCAATGCCAAGTGTCATTCTTGGGGGGACAGCTTACATCTCGCTTGTTTAAAAGTGTGCAGAAGCTATCCCCATCACATGGGGAGGGAGGAGGAACATTGCTTGTGCCAGAGAGTGATAATTATGGAACATGTGTTTGGCACATTTAATGGATTTTTGGGATACCACAATACTGAGCTGAATTTCAGCATGCCAGATACTCCTACTGCATGTTACATGTTCCATTTAAGAATACCATCCAGAGATCTACCCCGGTGACAGGCACTGTGGTTACTCCAGCCCCAGCAACAGGCACTATGCCTGAACCAGAGAAACAACCCATGCTAGTATCAGTTGCCCCTATACACAAGAAGAAATACAAAAGAAAATCAGCTCATTTAGTGAGGGATAAAGATGAACCAGGGCCATCAGGAGAACAGGAGGAGGAAAAGGCAGAACCCATAAATGAGACAGTAACCACTCGATCGCTATCCCTGCGTGAACTGCAAGATACGAGAAAAGATTTCAGCCATAGTCCAGGTGAGCACATCGTCACCTGGCTGCTCCAGTGCTGGGATAACAGGGCCAGTAGCCTGGAATTAGAGGATAAGGAAGCCAAGCAGCTGGGATCCCTTTCTAGGGAAGGGGACATTGACAAAGCGATTGGAAAAGGGGTAAAAACCCTCAGCCTCTGGAAGAAACTCCTGTCAGGCATGGAGGAAAGGTATCCCTTCAAGGAAGATGTTATATGTCACCCAGGCA